GGAATCAGTGGGACAGATGGACGAAAATGCCATGATTTGAAGTCTAAGCATGACTATATCCCAATCCAGTCCATGCACAGATCCAGATCGGTGCGGACATCCACCTGCAGTGCAGCCCCCCCCCCCCCCGCCACTTGCTTCTTTTGCAGCCACAGTGTTGGTGCGTCTCTGTCCCAGTCGCCACCTCAGATGGAAGGAGCCTTTGAGGCTTTCTGCAGCCGAGGCTCCGGGCTCCTCTCACAATCAGCTTGAGTCACTCACCAGAGGGGGCCTCTAGTTTCTTCTCAGTGATTTCTTGTAAAAGCCTTGGGGTGGGAGGCTGCACCGGAGTTCAGACACTCAACATTTCAACTGTGATTCTTTTTTTCAAATGGTAAATGGACCGTGAGGTTTGAAGAAAGTATCTGGCCACTGATAAATTTCTTTAATAAAATAGTTTACTGAACGTGAAAAACAAATGCATTGGCTTAAATATTTTTCTTTGCCTAATTCAGGAAAGGAAGTTTGTTTAGGTCAGTGAGAAGAATGTATACGCTGGTCCAGAGCTGAGCCCAGGGAATCATGGCGAGCGCTTTATGATTTGCACTGCTATTTAACAGCCTTTTAATGATCTGCATGAACTTGGAAGTGCACTTGCATGCAGATGATGTCATGCTTGAGGCTGCTTCCACAATGTAAGCCACGACAAGCACAACATACGTGCCTTCTTGATCGCTGAGATGTGAGTTCTGCGTGCGGTCAGCAAAGAGGCTCCGACCAAAAACAGAACTGATCTCCTACCTCTGCATTGTACAAAGTACAAAGAGCTTCCTGTACTTTGATTTGATTTAATGTTTGTGTAAAGAAAGGAGTGATTTTGTATCCCTGCATGTTGAAATTGTCTCTGGCATCCCTTATGCTGCCCTCTTTCCTGAGTCCTGTGACTTTAACATCAGCATAATACCTTCATATAACGTTGGTGAAGGTTTCTTTTTGCTCTCTTCTAATCCAGGCAGATGTTAAAAGCACTTTAACATCAAGCCAATGTTAAAAGCACTGGGGGCCTGCATGTGATGGGCAAGACAAGTTGTAAGGTCTGTGCTGAGGCAGTGTTTCCTAGCAAAGTGGTCTAAGAACTGGCCCTGAATGGCAGATACCATGCAGTGAGTTTCTACAGTATCATTTGGAATATTTGAGGGGGGGATCTTATAGTACTGGCTCACGTGGTGTCCATCTATTGATCAGCTCCTCTTCTACATTACCATTTCTGATGTTCAAATGTGCTTTGGGCATTGCTGCACAGGTAGACTCAGCCCACCACTGGTAACAAGCTGGTTTCACTTTGGCTCTGGCCATTCCAGATTTCAGCCTATGCTCTAAAGCCCAGGTGGGGAACCTGTGGTCCTCGAGATGTTGTTGGACTTCATGACCTTTCAGCCCCAGTCAACGCAGCCAGTGATAGGGATGATGGAAGTTGCAGTCCAACATCTATATGGCCATAGGTTCCATAGTCCCATTCAGATTCAGGGCTGCATCCAGTATTAGTCCTACTTAAGTAGACCCATTGAAGTGAATGAGACTTCACATGATCATGGAGTCCTAAATGTCCTTCATGTTAATGGGTCTACTGTAAGTAAGACTGATATAGGCTGTAACACTCAGAATCCCAAGTCTGTTGGGAATGGAGTTGCCAACGAACAGGACTTCCAAACTGGTTTACATATGTGCGTGACACTGCAAATTAGGACAAACCCAAATTCTTCTCTCATGCAAGAGTGTTCTAGATGATTTCCATTGATATCATCTAAAGACATTTCAGAATGTTAAAGTGAATGAGAACTTGAATGTCTGAGAGGGAGGAAGGTCAGCAGCATGGGCCACTGGCTTTTAATAGAGGAAAGCCAGATTTATTTCTGGACTCGACTGCCAGTATTCCCTGAGATCTGAAGGATTTTATTTCATTTGCAATGTTGCCTAAGGCTCTCACATTTAAACAGTGCTGTGTTCTTACCTCACAGTTAGCTATAAATTAATTTCAAGTCTTTCCAGAATTCTTAAGGGTTATTCAAAGTCTCAACCGTAGGAGCTCAGGTAGAAAGCCTACTGCAGATCCAGAAAGGTAGCAACAGGTCCGAGGGGAGGCCAGCATGGGTGAGAAGCAGGGAAAGGAGCAGTGCAGCTTCCCCGACCTTTGTCTCCCAGGTGTTTTGGATGGCAAGTCACAACCACTGGCCATACCGGCTGAAGCTGATGGGAAGAGCAGTCCAAAACATCTGGAGGGCATCGGGTTGGGGAAGGCTCTGTTAGAGACAAAAAGGCTTCCTTCAAAGATGAAGCAGAAATTAGAAGAGACAGAACAAGAAAGCAACACAAACAGAAAAGGAGGGGTACAAGAAAAGAGTTTGAGAACCTTACTGCCAAAAAATGGAGACCAATAATTTACTTCTAAACAAATTTAAGCAGACAGTGAAAAGTGAAAAAAAGATTTGGATGCATATTACTAAAAACATGAAGCCCAACAATAAATGCTTTTACAGATACATCAGAAGCAGGAAAATGGCCAGGTAGGCAGTTGGACTGTTGGATGTGAAGGGAGTTGGGAAGGAAGGGAAGCTGCAGGGATTGTTGCTTTTGCTATCAGTGTGGCAGATGTGGGGCAGGGCCCAATAACTGGGCCTGGACTGAAGCCTTCAGGAAGGGGGTCCAAAGGACCAAGGCGAAGAGCAGTGACAAGAGAGGATGCTCTCGGCCTTATTGGCAATGTAAGCAATAACAACTGAGTCAAGACGATATCCAGCTGAGAATTCTTAAGGCACTGCAAAGTGAAATTGCTGATCTTCTAGCAAAAACATGCAACTTATCCCTAAGATTAGGGTCTGTTCATGAGGGCTGGAAAGCAGCCAGTGGAACATTATTTTTTAGAAAGGGATGCAGGCAGATTCAGGAAATCACAGGCCAGTTATCTTAGCCTCTGGTGGAAAGTTGGTGGAAAGCATAATTAAAGATAAAATTATCAAGCATACAGAACAGGAATGGACAATGTGCAGCCTTTTCCATGTTGTTGGCATGAAGGGCACCAGTCCTAACTAGCATAGCCAACAATGAAGGAGAATTGGGATTGCTGTCCAACAACATCTGGAGAGCGACACATACCCCTGAAATAGAAGGACAAGCCTTGCTGAGCAAAAATCAACATGGCTTCAGCAAACTCACTAAACTTGAAGAGTTAAGGGTGTCAGCAAGTAGGAGAGATCCAGACTGGTAGATGCTGCATACTTGGACTTTTTAAATGTATTTGTCAAAGTCCTTCATCAATAACTCCTGAACATACTTAGCAGGCATGGAATAAGAGAACCAGGCCTTTTATGGTTTGGTAACTGGTATTATTATTATTGCTATTATTATTACTATTATTACTACTACTACTATTATTTATTTATTTCATGTGTATACTGCCATGGGGTCTCTGGGAGGGTCACAACATTTGGTTGTATCTGTTTCAAATGGTGAGTGGAATTGACTTGCTTTCATTGACCTGTAAGCCATTCTGGCTTTAAAAAAGGTATACATTATTTAAACAAGCAAACAAATGGAGTCAGTTCCCCTAACAATCTGTATGGTGACCAGTGCTTTTCCACTTGTTCATGCCTTATCTGGACTTAGGGGTAAGCAGAAAGGTAGCCAAATTTTGGGCACCAAATTAATCAGAGCCTGTGAGGACTCCATGAGGTTCTCTCCAAGCTGTGGGAGCAGGCATTGAAATATCAGCTGCGGTTCAGTGTAAGTCAAGCGGTACATCCTGGAGCAGAAATTCTAGCTTCACGTATACTGAGGAGGTCTTAGCTGGCAACACCTGACCGGTCAAAAGACCTTGGGGTCATGGTGGCTGGCTCGATGAAAACACTGAGCCCGGTCTGGAAGCTGTGAAGAAGGTGAACTCCACGGCAGGGATCATTAGGAAAGAGAAGAGGAACAAAAGTGGCCTATATTGTCCACGTCTGTGATGTGGCAGCAGTTGGAATACCAGGCAATGTGGCAACTCAAAAAGAATGTTGCAGAGCTGAAAACAGTGCGGAGAGGAGCAGGAAAAATGGTCAAAGTGCTGGAGCGACTCAGCTGTGGGGAAAACGTCCATTGCTTGAGGGTTTTTAGCTTAGAAAAAAGATGAGTAAGGGAAGAGATAGATGATGTGCAGAAAGCCAGAGTAAGCTTCCTCTCATCTCTCTCACTCTCGCTCCTGCCCCGGCCCCTCTCTGCCTGTCTCTCATAATGGACCCAGCGTCAATGACCAAAACTAAGTAATGGAAGTTCAGAGCAGAAAAAAGGAAGCACTTCCGCAGCACACAGTTCAGACGATGGAATTTACTCCTACAGGAGGTGGTGATGGTCACAAGCTGGTGCTGCTTTAAAAGGGGATAAGACCGATTCCTAGAGGACGAGGCCATCATGGCCGCTGCTCATAATGGCTTCCAATTTCTACCAATGTCTGAAGCAGGATGCCTCCAACTGCTGCTACTGGGGGACACAAGAGGGAGCACCCGTGGCTCTCGCCTGCTGTTTGAGGGTCCCACCGGGGCACCTGGCTGTGGATGCTGGACCAGGCGGGCCTTTGGTCTGTCCATTGGGCTGTTCCTAGGAGAGGCACTGGGTTTAAGCCTGACAGGGAGTTGCACTGTGACTGGAGGCCATCCTGTCCCCGCTCCCCCATCCAGAGTGTGTTAGGGCTGTTTCTGCTGAATTGGTGGCATAGGTAAGGCTCTCCACCTGTGCTCCGAAGCCCTATTTCCTTAATTACTGCATCTCCGATCTCAGAATGCAGTCCTGGAAGCAGGAGGTGCCGGGTGATCCTTTTGTGCGTGACTGAATTTTCATCTGTCTTTGCTCCTGCAGGCGCCACCGTTGCCCCCATCTTGTGTCCAGGCCCTATGAAATGAATGAGAAGCCATGCCTCCTTTCCGAGTACACGGAAAAATACCCTCTTTATCCCAATGCTCAACCCAGGGAATCCTGCAAACCCAAAGTAGAATACAAGAAGCAGCCCGTGCCTATGGAAGGCATCTCAACTGCCAGGTAAAGAAATTAAGACGCAGGAGAAGAGACCTGTGGGACATAAATGCATGGAACTGGGCAAGAGGTGGACTACCATCAGTCCGCTTTTTCTGGCAGGTTTGGGGGATGACATTTTTTTAAAAATTGGGTGAATGGAGACAGCAGGGAAAGTGAGGAAGAGCAATGAAGTGCTTCTGAGCCCCATGTTTCTGGGTTTTGTTTGGCCATTCCAGGAACTGGTTGCCAGCTGTTGGGTTGGGACTCACTGGTGGAGCACAGCCTGACCTCAGGTGGTTTGCAGAAGCAGCACCTTTGCTGCCCCCACAGAAATATCTGGCAAAAAGTCAAGAGATGGGTCTGCAAAGATACCTGGGCTAGCTGTAGTTTTCAGGAATGAAAAGGTGCTGGACTTGTCACCTAAATTGTCTGGTCCTTTGCAAACTTTCTGGAACTTGGAAGCTGTGTCTTACTCTGTCTACTCAAAGTGTATCTAAGGTGCATCCAGATTTAGTCACACACACTAAATATATACATATAAATATATAAAATTATATATTTATATCGTAATATTGGATTGCTGCTGCTAAATTGTGGCATTATATGGAGTTATTGCTGTTTATAATTTTTAAGGGTTTTTTTTTTCAGTGTTTTGTGTTTTAACTGGTATTTTAGCATTTGGATTTGGGCTTTTAATGGTTGTAAACTGCCCAGAGAGCCCTTTGGGCTATTGGGACAGTACATAAATGCAATAAATAAATCAATATAAATAGAATAACCAGCTGAAAACTGATAGTAACTTGTACTACTGATTTAGGGATTCTACTCTAAATATAACTAAAGCAGGATCAAATCGTTATCAACCCTAACCCTATTGATGTTCTTGTTCACAGACAGGATTACGTCCCTCATGAAGTGTTCCCTATAAAGCAGAGGCCTCCTGATAAATATGTCAGGAGGGATGAAAACATGGACCTCTTGTCCACCTATAGACAAGACTACAACCCGTACCCCATTTCTCGAGTGCCCCCTTGCCTGCCCCAGGAACAAAAGCCTTTCTCTGACGAGAAGATGACCACAATACCAACATACAAAGGTAAATGAGAGGCAAACAAACTCTGGAATAAGAAGCCCTCTCCCCCCAGGTTGGCTCACTTTTTGCCCACAGGCTCCTCTCTTCCTGATGCATCCCACCTCTGGAAACTTTCTGCTTGACTTTTGTTCCTGAACTCAACTGCCTTCCTTGCCTCTATCCACACATCCTTTTCGCAAAGAGCAGTGTCCTTAGGAGAAAGGATCTTGTGAACTCTCTCTCTCTCTCTCTCTCTCTCTCTCTCTCTCTCTCTCTCTCTCGGGCATGTGGAAATTAACATATGCAACTATATGCTTTATTTTTCTCCTGTGATTCTGTGCCCCTGTCTTTTCGATACGCAGCAACAGTTCTGAGCACGCCAAACATCCCCGTTTCTCTTTGAGAGGAGGGTTTCTGCAACTACGGGGCAGGCAGAGGTTGCTGGCATTCCTACACTGGGCACTGACCATCTCCCCAGCTGCTCCCAGTCACCTTTCCCTTTGCTTCCTATGTGGAGCCATTTAACTGCCTGCCGCAGCCAAGAACAGCCGAGGCTCTTTGCCCGTGGCTGGTGGAGCAGCCCTAAGCCAGACCACCAAGGAACTCCGGGTGAAGAGACTTGGTCCACACATGGCCTTTTCCCCACACGCAGGACTGCTCTTGGTCTCGGTGTCAAAGCCGACCTTAACAAGGCCACCCAACACAACTGTACAATCTCTTGCCAAAGCATATCTGCTTTCTGAATTCCTGGCAGCCAATCAATCCCAGATGGTACCTGGACTGACACTCTATGAAAGTGCCTATTTCTTTGCAAAGGCAGGTAGCTCCTTTCATGATCGTTCTGGTAGATATAGATCAGGACTAGAAGTTACTATACTAAGATATATATTTTTTTAACAATGGATGAACTCTGGTCGGGTCAGTCCCACAGTGGAATGGCATCCATCCATGGGGTGAAGCTCACTTCCCCTGTATTCTGCCGTAGGAATTCTCTGGAGTAGGTCTGCGGGGTTGCAGTGGGGGGGAGAGGATGGGAAAGCTCCTCTGCATGAGCACGAGGCTGGTCACACAACCCTGGATGTTACCTTTAATCCGGAAGGGCCTGCGAGCCTTAAAACCCAGCGGGACAAGACTGCAAGGGATCTTATCAGATATCACAATGAATGTCTCACAGCCTTGGTTCAGTGTATTTTTTCAATTTTCTCATTATCTCTCAGATAAGCCTTATCTATGTATAGGTAGATAATCTAATTTTAGAGTTTTATTTGGCTACACTAAAGTCTGCCTGAGCTATTTAACATGTGGTTTGTATCCGTGCTTCCCTCCCAGATTCCCCTAATTTTTTCAAGATGGGGATACATGGGAAACCATTAATATCTACCAGAGTAGAATGAGAGTTTCAATAAAATTGTAACATATTTCAATGGGGGATAGTAGCACTGTTGGCTCCCGCAAAGTAAAATATATTCATAATACCTAGGAGAGCTCCGAATGTGTGGCGTTTTATCAAAAACAAGAACCCACACTAGAAATGGAAGACATGTGGAAGCGTTTGTCATCTTCTAATATTGTACAAACTGGCCCTATCAGTGAACTCCCCGGGCTAGATTATTGCAAGTAAAGACAAACTCAGACAGAGCTTCAGTGTGGTTCTTTCAGCCCACGAAAGCGCATCCGAACACCAAAGCCTGGTGAGCTTGCTCCATGCATGCCAACGGGCTGCGTCAGCAGTGACCGTAAGTAACCGTAAGTATGTTCTCACTCATTCGTTCTTCCATTTCCCCACAATTCCTTTCAATATGCGTTCTTGCTTTCCTCTTAAAGTAGCCTCAATCCTTTATTGTGGGCAGTGGCTATTAAAACTTGTTTCTCAGCTGAGATCCCTTCCAAGCATCTCAGGTTCTTTTAAGCACAGGGAGGAATTGCAGCAAGAGCAGCAGAAATGCTCTGAAAAGGTGCTGTAGAAAGGGATGGATGACTATATTTCTCCTTTCTGGAGGAGTTTGAGACTCAGAAAGTGTTGAAAATAGGGAGGGGCACTAAGGACGACCGTCTCAGCACTTGAAATCCAGAGGGTTCCATTGCTGAGGAGGAGATCTTGTTGCCATCCCGTTACTGGTGCACCCTGTAATTCACATCTCTTTTCTGTGTATTGGTGATTTTCAACTGGCAGCTCAGCAAAAATGAGCCTATATGCAGTCTAGCCTTGCCAATTCCCATTCGTTATCGACTGTACTTTGCTCTCCTTGGCAGAGGAAACTTGTAAGAAACTCTTTGACCAGGTAAGACTACACAGATCAGGCAGTCTTAAGCATGTACAGGCACACTGCAAATGACCAAATATGCTCTCTCTTTCTCTCTCTCTCTCTGTCATATCTCACCCACACGCACGCACGCATGCACGCGCACATGAAGACATTCCCACAGGCTGTGGCAGTCACATCAAAGTGCTGCTTGGGCTTCAGTGGAGGGCCTTTCACCAAAGAGATCACAGAAGCAGCAAGAGGGTTTTGCCATCTTGGTGGAGCAGATCACTAGCTACTCCCCACGGCCCACAATGAAATTGGTCTCCCATGTGTGGAGGACTCGACGACCCAAAGTGGGTTTAACAGTTCTGAGCATGAGCCATGGGTCGCCAGTGTGCGTTGTTGCCCCGAACTAAAGCACACTGTGGAAGGGGGTCAGAGTTTGGACAACGCAACATTGCAGCATGGCTTGATGCTCGCTGTCAGACCTTGCAAACCCAGCCACTACGTTCACTCGGGCTAATTTCCCAGTAAGCAGGCAGAGGACTCCAAATGTAGGTGCCCAGAGCACCTTATCATGCCACCCTCAAATATCTTCCATCTTCCATTAAATGGGTTCATCAGACTCCTTTCTTATATTTTTCTTTATTTGGCCTAACATGGAGAGGTACATGGAATTAGATTTATTTTTTTTATAATGGCATTAAAATAATAAGAGGTTCAAAAATAAAAGACAAGGAAAAATCCTCTGTAGAAGTCTTATTCCAATGCTCATTCCTAATGGACCAGAATAGTTTTGAATTGCATGATGTAATCATGGTATATGGCTTCGCATTGAAAATGCTTGACGGCAGCTTTTCCCTTGATTTAGTTCTCTTCTTTCATGCAATCAACACATGCCATTCAGTGCATTCAGATTTCCTGTCCTCATTCACTTAAATTCCACAGACTTGTTCATTAAAGCCTTACGATTGGAGGCAAGCTGAAAACTAAGGACAGGCATCAACAGCCTCTTAATTACTAAACAAATGTTAGCAGCTGCCTCAGCTCTTAAATCCCAGTTTCCTTCCTTTTCAGATGATTATGTGGCTTGGAATCAGCCCAGAAGAGACATTATTAAGCCAGACAACACTTACCATCCATCAGAAGCAAAATTCGATCACAAGACCACTAACCAGGATGACTACCTCTACAAAGGGCCAGTTATTACCAAGAGCTGCAAACCTGCTAAGGTGCCGCACAGCACAAAGATACCCCTGGAGGGCACGACCAATTATAAGCTGAATTATGTGGCCCATCCCATACCAAAACGTTATGTCCACGAACGTGAGCCATTCAAGCCCAGCGAAGTCCCATTTGAAGGTGCTACCACCCACAAGCTGTCCTACAAAGGATTAGCGGGAGAGCCAGCAAAATCACTGAAGCCTCCTTATCTGCGGCCAGAAGTGGCAGACTTCGCTGGTACCACAGAATTTCGGGAAAAGTATCTAGCTTGGCCCACGGCTGACCCCTTTATCAGAAAACGTGAGGTCTACATGCCACCAAAGGAGAAGATGGATCTTCAGACAACGGCTCAGGTTCACTACGGAGACCCTCATGGGCGCCCGGCCACATCGTGTAAGCCGTTGGCTCAGGTCCCGCAGAGCACAGGGCCCTTGGACTACCGCACCACCATGCGGGATGCTTACAAGCCTTGGCAATATGCACGGCCTAAGGCCATCTTGCCTCGCCACGAGCTCACCTTGCCGGCGGTGCCCATGGACACGCTGACTACCTTTCAGTCCCATTATGTACCTCACCCGCTCCCTTCCACCAAGAGCTGTAAGCCTCGCTGGCCGGCAGCTAGGCCTCACGTACCATTTGCTGAGGAAACCACCTATGCTAGAAGCTACACACCCAAGGAAATACATATATGTCCTGCTTCTTTCAAAGACCCGCCTGGCTACATATTTGACAAGATTGATGAAGGTGGGCACAAGCGTTTCCGGCCTGCCACAGTGGCCCACTCCCGATGCGCATCCAGTTCAAAGCTAGCTGATCGGAGAGGCAGCCCTTCCGGTAGCAGGTCGAGTCAGACGGGCCTCAAAGGGATAGCCCTAAAAGCCTGATGCGTCGCAACCTGCCCTTAAGCGAATTGCTGATTCTATTCTGTTATGAATGCTGTCAATATAATGCCTTTCTTTGCTACTGAGACCTCATAGAGCTGAATAAATTACTAACATTCTAGGAAAGTAAAATTAATCAGCTCTCCTCCCTTGATTACGGCTAGGGTTGCTACCTGGTCAAACACTGGTAAGTTTTGCTTTTGTTTATTTCAACTGGCAATTGGTTTTTTTATGGATTTTATTGAAATGTGTTTTTATGGATTTTTTAAAAAAAGATGTAGCCTCATGAACCAATTCTTTTCCACCCCACTGAATTCCTTCTGGAAGTGGTGGGTCCCACCAATTCTATTGCTGAAGTAGGACCTAGTGCTTCTGTAAGGGAGAGTTAGTTCCTAAAGTGAAGTACTCAGAAATGTTCTTTTCCCAGCAAGTCAGCTTAGCTCCCTGTGTGTAATTTCTAAATCATAGTTGTGCAAGTAGTGGCAGCCACTTGTGCAATGGGAACTGCCAGGCATAAGAGAATCAAGCAGGGCTGTAAATGCCCTATTAAATTTTGTCCTCCGTGCGCGATCCATCTTTTTGTCACATTGAGAGGGTTCTACTCTTTCAGGTGGCTCAGGGATCATTCCAGAGTGATGGATTGATTGCTCTTTGGTTGCTTCCTCCTTACCCAGGAGTAAGCTCCATTGAACTGAATGGGTCTTACTTCTGAAGATAGGCATATGATCCAAGGTTCTAGTCCCCACTCAAATGTGGAGCTCATTGGGTGCCTTTAGGCCAGGTACAGGCTCTCAGCCCCACCTATCTCACAGGGTTTGGAGTTAGGAGGAGGAGAATTATGTAGCTGCTTTGAGTTCCATGGAAGGGAAAAAAGCAGGATAAAAATGTAATAAAGAAACAATAAATAAAGAATTCATCAACTAAGTCTGCATATACTTACATGTAGGAAAAAATCAGTTAAAAGGCAGAAATGGCCATTTCCTTGGTTTTAGATGATAACACAATTGTCACAACAGGCACCGGAAAGGAAGGAACGCTCATTTGAGATGCAGTGTGTATTCATAAATAATAATGATCAAAACCCGATGTTTAGTTCCACCAGGAAACCGCTAGTCAGCAACATGCTGTAAAGTGATGCAAGTTTAGAGAAGCAAGAGTTTGACCGTTGCTCCGGCCGGCTGGAGAATGGCGGGAGCTGTAGGACTTTGTCTAAGCATGCTCAGGATCATGCCATGAGGGTTCACTCCTCCTGCCCCCCAAAAGTATTTTTTTCCTTCAGCAAACCTTGGAATTCTGCTGATAACTCATGCTGGGGTGGTGCCATTTGGGGTACATAAGCCAAAGCATATGGAAGACGACTAATATGGTTGGGAGAGAAGATGCGGCTGGTTTTAGCACCATTATCAGTCATGATGATGTAATAAAGAAGGACTCATGATGAATGAACTTCCTGTGTGCAGTTGTATTTAGTTTGCAATGGTTTGTCCTCACCTATCAGAAAATAGGCTCTTCCCCCCTTTCTTTCTTGCTAATAAAAATCACTTGGTCGAATGTTGTTAGCAGAAAACTGACCCTATAAATGTTTCACTGAGCAAAGTGTTTTTAATAAGTATCTGCCAGCCTCACAGGATATTTACTTAAACCAATAACTTAGGCTTAACAAATAGTTTGCAGGAAAGGAGGGGAAATAACAACCCTTTTGTGCGGCCCAAACCAAATTATCCCTCGCAAGCCAACCATTGAAACATTTCCTTAAATAACATGAAGAAAATCTGGTTTCCTTCATTAGCAATTACATCTATTCACAGTTTCTCTGGTCTCTTTGGTTCACATGGCATTCCTGTGTCTCTGGTCTGACCTTGGGGACTAGAGAATGAGCTCACTCGGGGCGGAGGGGGTGGACCCAGAGGCAGCAGACTGTTTTATAGGCTCAGAGGAGCGCCTGGGTGTGCAGGAGAAATTAGTTTCGCAATTCCCACGTGCTTTTATTGCAAGCGTAACGGCGGTGCAGACGGCACAGCTGCTCCCATCAGAGTAAGTGCCCTCTTGAAACAAATGTTATGTGCACCGGTCATTACCCACCAGCACCGGATTCCTTCTCACCTGGGCACCATTCCTGCACCACCACTGGTGCTTTATCTAGATATCCCATTGTACCCCAAACAGTTCGATCCTTTGCATGCAGACGTTTCTTTCCCATCATGTGCTCTTAGGCTGGGACTTGGCATGGCCTGAAGCAACCCAGGAAATGAGCAGAAATGCTCCCAAGCGTTTTTTCTCACTCCTGGAAACACTTTAGGAGTCGCTTCGCTTTGGGCACCGCTATCTTTGCCTAGTGCATTGGGTGAGGCCGGGATGAGGCTCATCCACCCGAAATTGCACAGGCTCCGGCCATGTGTCGTAAAAGCCCGGTCCTTAGAGCTGCACATGCTGAGGCCGCCTCGGTGCAGAGGTGTGCAGGCCCGTCTTCCGGGGCGGATGAGATGGGCGCTCATCCTGGGGGCCAAGCTCAGCTCTGTGGCTCAGTGCTTGCTGCTCCAAAAAGGCAGGCAGGTCAGCTTGGGCCATTTAGTGCATGCGGAAATTGCAGCTGATTTGCCTGGAGCCACTAGCCCCTCAGTTGTGACAGAGGTCCAGCCAGTCTCCGCCAACGTGCGAGCTTAAATGAGGCGCGTGGAATCTCTCTTTCCCCCCGCCACCCCGTCCCGTGTCTCAAAGCACTGCCAATTGCAAACCTCACCGGACAGAATTGTCACTTCAGTTTCCACAGCAACTGTTCTTTCAGGGGCTATTCTGCCATAAAATAGGTGAGAAGCCACTTCATATGGTGCTAACCCTCTCCCTCCTCTTGTAAATCCACTGCAAGAGAAAAGTAATAGGACATGCCTGACAGGAGGAAAAGCGTTTTTTAATATGGCCAATAGACATTACCTTGGAATTAGAGCTAGACACAAGCTGTGAGCCAACTTTTGCTGTGATGTGGAGCAAACTGTTTTGGTGCTTTCTAACTGTAAGCAGATGATAACCCCTGACGGAATTCCACCCCACAATGCAGCACATTTGCTGTGGCCAGGATCAGGCCAGGCCAGTCTGTCTGTTCTTGACTCAGCTGTCAAATTTATAACTGAGGATCTAGCTCCAGGCAGCCTAGGGTTGGAGTATTTCAGCTGTTGACTGAAACTCAGCCATTTGTGAGTTACACACCAGGGATTCAGCCTGGAATCCAAGAACTAAGTCTGAACCAGACCCATGAAGCTGGAAGTATGCCTGCCCAGGTTGGCCTGATTGAAGACCTTAGCAAATGTGTTTCAGCGTGGGCGTGACCACACCTCAGTGGCAGAGTGCCAGCCTTGCATGCGGGAGGTCCCAGCTGCCTTCTCCAGGTAGGCCCAATCCCGGGGGGTGGGGACAGCTGCAGGGCTGTCTGGCCAGTACTGAGCAGGATAAACCAAGGGACTGATTTGTGGGGCAGATTCCTATCAAGTCCTTCTAATTTGTCCTCTTGTCAAGCGGGGAGGGACAGAAAGAATCTAATCTGAATGACTCCCTACATGCACAGCTCCAAAGAAAGAACGTGGTGCGCTCTCTCTGTAAGATGAACGTGCCGCTTTACCAATGATACAGCTTTAAAGTGGGACTCCATTTGTGACTGCAATCTAGAGTATGGCTGCCCTTCTAGATTAAGTTATTTGGCATCTTTCATACTAGAGCCCATGAACACTGCAAAGGTGCTCTTCTCCTGCAGTTAGCCAGAAGTGGAATTCCTTGGTTCATGCAGCCTGAAATAGGTAAAAACAACAGAAAAGATCCAATGGAAGCGATATGCTGGGCAGAGATTTTCAGCAATCAAATTTATCTTACAGCAGGCGGTGCCAAAAGTGAATTCTTCTTTCCCCCACTGATAGCTGCTTCAGAGAAGCGAGTCCTACTGAACCGAGGGGGAGGTAGCTCTGTGTGAACAGATGCAGGATTGTCCTGTGGGGGGTGGGGCAGGCCTGTCCGTGCCTGGGAGGCCACAGGACTCCCCCGAGTCCCAGCTTTGAGGTCCTGAAATTGCCGAGATGCTCTCCCTCGCAGCTGGCACAGAAAGAGCCATGCCAGCTGCCTGCGAATCTGGGCCTCAGAAGGGCAAAAGAGGGCATGCCAGGGAGCAGAGACGGAGGACGTTGGGCATGCTTCTACCTCCTTCCCCAAAATAACTATCCAGGCATGGCAAAGGCGAAGAGCTCTGTGGCTGCATCTCACTCCAGAGATCGGATGCACGTGAGCCCTGAATTTGGAGGCCTGCATGATCACAGCTGCAGGGTGGAGCTCTCCTCCGTACAAGGCCTAGCGGTGATCTTCAGATATATGACGGAAAGGGCATCTGAGCCATGCGCATTTGCAAGGGCTCCGGCGGGTTTGTAAAGAACCAGTCAGACAAAATAAATTAAATAAATAAGATGCATTATTTGTACAAAAATTTATATATATATATATATTTTATATATATATAAAACAGTTCTTTTTTTTTTTTTGAAGGGAGGGAAGCCACCTCCTGTAATATTTGTCAACCTTAAGAAACTTACACAGATGCTATCAAGTTACAATTCATCAGACAGACATTTGAAATTACATTCATAGGCTGCAAGCCTTTGCACAGCGAGACGCGCCCAAGACTCAGGCGGCCTTCATGCAGGTGCCTCTGTGCAGAGGATCGTGGCCATAGCGTGCAAAGGGGGCACCGTGGGCCAGCCAGCCCTTGGGTGTGACCCAGCACCATGGAACATGGTGGTACAGTTATCGTTGGTCCTCCACTGTGCCTCTGGGGCTTCCTGGGCTGAGAGGACTTCCCTGGACACAGCCATGGAGGGTGGCAGGAAAGGCGCTTCCCTCCACACGGAAGTGAACAGGGAGGCCGGGGCCTTGTCTGTGCACCCAGCCACGTGGAGAACACCGGACAAGGCACCTCATCTTTAAGATCATTTAAACAAAGTCATCAGTCAGCAGGCAGTATCAAAGAGGTGACCATCCAGATGAGTTTAGCTATGGAAGGCTGATACGCTCTGCTTAATGTCTCATTAATTACCCCTCTAGAAGAAAGAAAAGGCATCGTGTCATTATTAAAGACTCTACCTTTTGCTCTCATTGTAGCGACCTGTTCTGCAGTTTAAAAGCCCCCTCCATGCAGTTGCCCCTCCGTGTTACAGTTTACTCTGTTGCACTGAAATGCAGTCAAGGTTAAATACAAGTGCTGTTAAAAATGGGGAGGGAAGAATACATCATCACTGATATTACAAAAACACACTGTAGAAGGGGCAAATGAAAAAGCTCTCCCCCGGATAATTTCATCTGGACAGACAACATAATGTACAATTATTCATATTGCACTTTTTATACATGAAATTCTAATAAATATTCACAAAAGATACATTTACATACATAGAAAGACATTCTTTTATTTATTTATTTAAATAAAGGTTGCATTGATTCATAGCAATGCAAGAGCTCAGAGACCCATCCGAAAAGAGGAGCATCTTCCCTGCCAGACACAATCTGGAATGACCCAAGACGGGAGGCAATTTGATCTGAAGAACCGGATGCTGACCTCACCAGAAGACCTCCAGACTTGCTTTAAAATGCTCAGATAGTCAAAGCTGCAACCTGCCAGTGCTGCCTCCTGTGCTTGCACCGCGTTTTATTCCGGCAGCACCAGTGACGGGCCCGGTGGCAAGAGGCAGCTGAGGCACAGCTCAGCCCTCCTGCGGCACTGGTGCTTGCCAAAGACCCCGAACCGGAAGCCCCTGCCCCACGCATTCCTCAGGGTGCTCTGGCCCAAAATCGGCAATTTCCAACCAGGAAATTACGGGATATGCCTTTATCCTCACTGACTTGAAGCAACTCGGTGCATTGCACAGCTTCAGGCCCTACTCGTCCATCTGGTGGATGCCTAACATCACCTGCAGCACCAGCATCCGGAGCAACTTGTGCTTTCGCTCTGCATTTGCGGAAACGCGACAGCCAAAAGGTGGATGCGAGGGTCTGCCGGTTCATGTGAATGTTGCACGCGCTCATTTACAGGCAGAGGTGCCAGTTTAGAAATGACGGGTGCAGCCGCGGTGGCCGGGATGCCTGCTCCATCTGGTGCCCATGTGCTGTCGAGGGGCACCTTCGAGGTCCTGCTCTTCAGGCTCTGCACCATCAAGCGGGCTTGGTCAGGGCAGCTCTTCCAAGAGACTAAGGAAGAGGCCCCGAGGCACGTTTGAAGCAGCTCCTGACATGCAGCCGTAGGTGGCATTGCATGTGGGTTACAAGGAACAGGGTGCCCTTGGTTGTAACACAACTGAGCCAGCAAGCCAGGGGAAATGCATTCTGGATGCTAGCCATGGCTAATCAAAGGGGCAATTAACTTTTGGGAAACTAATTAATGATGGCATCCTGCTGCCAAATGGCAAGAAGAATGCTGCTATTCCCTCCCTTCCTCGTTTTTCCAGCTAGATGAGGATACAGTGCATGCTATAATTCTGCTCATCCAGTGGTGAGATGCTGCAGATGACCTCAAGCATCCCTTCCTGGCCCTCTGTACTCACCTCGTGTTGGCAGTCCTTCCAGGTCAGCTCCCCCCTCCCCGCCCCTTAATCTCTGCTTTTGTATAAATGGATGTGCAAGCTGCAAGGCCTCACTCTGACTCACATACGGGTGGTTTGGTGTTTGATCAGGTCTGCTTCGGCGTCTTCCTTCACTCCAGCCGTGTCCACTCTGCAGGCTTCCAGGGAGTTCAGTTTCTGAGGCTGGTTCCTTTGCTCGCTTGCTCTCTGTCTCCCTCCCTCCCCCCACCCTTTCCCCCCTCTCTCCCCTTTGATCTCTGCGCTCACAATGAATGGTGACTTGCTGCATTTCTGTCTCCCGACCTCATCAGAAGGGAAACCTTGTCGAGGTCTTTTTTTTCCTTTTTCTTTTTAAACACAACTCAGTTACGGGGGAGGGGGTTCTTAACAAGGAAAACAAAACAAAGCAGAGAGGAAAAATAAATAAATAAACCAGAAGATGAAGCGATTCTATTCCGACTTTCCTTTTCTCAAGGAGCCCTTCTCAACAACCACGCAGAGCAAGGCTGGTGGGGGCCGAATTCACCCCGTCGTTCTTCTGCTGCCGCTTTCATGCTTTTCCACACGTCCCACAGCAGCGTGATTTAAACTGCGAGAGCTGGCAGAGCTTGAGCTGCTTCACCTTCTCACAGTACCTGGTGGTGTCTCTGCATTCCACTGGGTGAAAGAAGAAGCGGGGAGAATTACCTTTTGGGAAGGGACGAAGAACCACATCGTCACCCTGAGTTGCACTGGCTGGAGGGCAGATTTGGCAAGCTGCCGTGTCCCTGCTCCCTTCACATACCCTCATGGGGCTGCAGTGACAATATCTGGGCCCAAAGCCCCTCAGAGAACGCTGGCGACCACTCTCCCTGTGGGCCTGCGGATGGCAGGCAAGGAGGGCAGGAGCACACGCCTCGGCTGGGGCTGCTTGCTACCCTTCGCCCAGAGGATCTCACCCGAGCTCCTTTCTCCCCCACCAAGTGGCAAAGGCTGTCCAGACCCAGCCAGAAAAGGCAGCGAGAAACCGAGGAGAGCTCTGCCGGAGTCTCCCTCAGCATCCGCGGGTGGAGTGCAGCCCTGGCCAGCCCTGGCACGGACATGCAATGCAACGGAGCATTGGAAGGAGCTACAGCACCTCTCTGTCTCTCTCTCTCTGTGTGTGTGTGTGTGTGTGTGTGTGTGTGTGTGTGTGTGTGTGTGTGTGTGTGTAAGTGGTAAGGGAGACCTGCATTTCCTGTTATTACTTGATGAGAGAGGGAAAAGCCTCACAGAAAAAGGCAGCTATGAGTGAAGTATCATACAGGTTTGCACTATTTCCCTGCCTTGTTTTTTTCCAAAAAATTAAGATCTAACATATTGCAAGCCACAGAAACCTAGGAATTTTCCGTGGATTAGTCCGTGAACCATCGCACTGTGGGTGTGGACGAAGGCTTGTGCGTCCTTGAGCACACCCCCTGCAGCGACCCTGTTCAATCTGACAGGACACCTGGGAAAGCAGCGGTGTGCTGGACCTGCTCCTTGTGCACCGGCGGTGGCTCCCTGCAGCGGGCACGGTGAGCCAGCCCCACGCACGGAGAGCGGAGGCGGAAGCTTCTCCTCGGACCAGCGCGCCAACTCGGCGGGACGCACCATTTTCACACGGGGTGATGTTGCAGCGCTGCCAGTTGGCAGGCCTCGGTCTCCAGGCGCAGAAGTGCTCCTGCACAGGCTTGTTGGTGCGGCCGCGGATACACTCCACCCGCCTGGACTGGAAGCCGTAGTTGCCACAGGTCGCAGTACACAGGGTCCACAGGCTGACCCTCCAGTGCACCCCACACGTGTCTGTCCAGCAGTTCTGGGTGCTTAGGGGCCTTTGGACGGAAGGAACAGAGAAAATGCCAGGAGAGGCAGCCTTAAGAACAACACATATGGTTTACTATGACTCCAAATTGGCCAAGCAGGAGTCAAACCAAATGCTAGGAGAAGCAGCCTTAAAAACAACACACATGGTTTACCATGACTCCAAATTGGCCAAGCAGGAGCCAAACCGGAGCCAGTTTTATGCTCTGACAAGCCATTCGTTGGAGGTACATGCACTCTGTACTGTGAAAAAGCTCAGCCTTGTTTTGGATAATCTATCGTGTCTTTATGATTCATGCATAAGTTATTCTGGTTTTGCTAGACATAAGGAGGAAGTTGCAGCCCTTGAAATTCAGCCACACTCTGGATTTTGCAACTCAGCAGGAATTGCCCAATGATATCTTTGCAGCTGTAAGCCCAAATCCTGCCCTTTGGGAAAGGGCCTGGTCATTACACTCTAATGATGCCACTGAAGAAATGCACAGGTTAGTCCATGCTTGAAAGTACAGTACTTAACCTTTGACTTAACACTGCACAGAAAAGTTAAATCCCCTGAGTGAACGGTTGTGAGCCGCCCCGAGGCTTCAGCGAATGGGGCGGCATAGAAGTCTCCTACATAAATAAATAAAACAGGGCTAAAAGGAGCAGCACCCCTTGAGTTCTTTGGGACATTGACGGGGAGTCAGAAGATACTCATGATGAGTGTCAGAGAGGTCTGCCATGCCTGCCACTTACAGTTTGGCCCAGGTTATGCAGGTGCACAAGCTGCGCACGAATGCAGGAAACAAGACCCAGGGTGCTCTGGAGTGCTGCCTTCCCTCAGCCCATCTGGGAGACTGGGCAGTTTCCCCAGCCAGGCTCTGCCGTTTTTGTTTTGTTTTGCTTCGCATGGGACACATAAGCTGCCCCAAGAGGGAACGGATCTTTTCTTTCGTGAGACCTGGCAAGTTGGAGCTTTCTCTGGCATCCGTTTTAGCTTGTAAGAGGCTTCGGGAAAGAGAGGGAGGACCAAAGTTCCATGTTTTTACTAAGGATCTGAAAGAACAGAGCTTTCAGCTCCCTGAGTAGGAAGGAGGAGGACAATCTAGTTAGACTCTGTTTTGCATCAGCTACAAACTAAACCCAGTAGTTATTTCATCCCATTTATCTTTCACAGGGTGGGTTTCTGAAATAATGGCTTTGCTCCTAGGTCACTAGACCCCCTACTGGCTCCCACTTACAAGCCTCTTCTGCAAAATAAGTATGATTTCCCCATCTCTCAGTCTGGTATTGCTTCCATCATATGGGTGAATATGTCCATATTCGCCTCAGGTGGGAACACGTTATTTCTGTATTCATTTGTGGTTATCCAACCATCCAAGGAGGGAAATGTTCAGTGTGACTGACAAGTAAAATAAAAAACCCCAAAACCCCAGGTGATATTGTGTCAGAACTGGCCGCAGGGTTTCATTTCTTTAAAGTAGCACCGGGGGGCTTACCTTGGAAGGGAACTGCACTGGTCAGAAGGCACAGAGATCCCGTCCCTGGTCTGGCAGAAAACCTGCCTATGCTGCACAGACAGGTGAGATCCAACGCACGGCCCATTGCACTGTTAATCAAGAAGAGCAGGGTGCTTAGCAGAACAGGCCTTCGCTACTCTTATACACAACTCCAAGGGCAACACAGATAGAAGTCCCTCAGGGAATGCATACATTTTTCAACTGCTGCCTGCCCAGGAGTATAAAAATTCTCAAACACATGAGAGACCACAATATTTGGATGATTTGCTAGGGCGGCTGCATGCCCTATTTTACAGGAAACAGTCCTTGATTTAAAGATGCCCTCTGATTTCAAGGTATGTTGAGTTTAGTCCAGACCAGTTTAAAGGTAAAGAACCGTAAGAAGGGAAGGTTGTTCGGTTGCTCACCGACCACAGACTGCATCCAGAGTACAGACTGAGCAAGACACCAAGTCCCTAACATGATAAGACATGTAACATTTTTATGCAATTGCTGCCATTCTGTCTAAATTTGCATCTATTCCTATAAATCAGCCTGTTTTGACAGTCTTCTTTGGTGTTGTGCAAGAAGGAACCTGAGCCAGGCTTGGTGGGTCACAGGCTGAGTGGGCTGCAGTGCAAGAAAGAAATATCATGCATTTCCTGCGGTAAAGCAGAAGTGCTGCACGCTGGTAGTCCAATGGTCCGGCCGTCTGCCAGAGATCTGCACGCTTGACTGTACACAACTTAATGGTTCTTTTTTAGATTCTCAAATGGTAGCCATGTTCTTGTCGTCCAGTGTTTTGGATTACAACTTTCACAAGCCTTTACCATTGGCCATGCTGGCTGGGGCTGATGGGAGCTGCAGTCCAAGTCAACTTGAGGACAGGATACATACACCTGGCAGAGTGACTGTTTGGCAAATCTGACTGTTTGGAAGTAATGAAAAGTTCATTCTACTTCTCCCTTTCTCGTGTTTTGCTAGCCTGAAGCTTGTGATCCACAAAGGAAATGTCACTCTATACCTTCTGCTGGACATTTTACGACTTATGTTTATTATAATTTACAGGCAAGTGGTTAATAAGACAGAATTGGGAGTGACATATTGCCCTTAAAAACGAGTAACTGAAAAGCATGAGATGATTAATGCAAGTCCTGGAAACGGAGCCAAAGCAGCAAATCGGCTCTCATAAAGAGCAAAGACCTTTTCACTTATGACTGCAAGAATAAACCTGTCGCTTGTGTTCTGGGGGTTCAAGCCCTCCTCCCTTGTTTATCCTGTGGCATATTATGAACAGGTTAGGTTACACTAATCCTGAAATGTCTTAATAGAGCCAGGAGAGGGAGGAAAAGATTGTGGGTTAGTAAGGTGAAGAATACTCCAGGGGACTGAGAAGGGATGAGTAGCTTAAAAAGTTTAGTGAGGGCTGTCCACAGATCTCCAAGGAAAACTTTCCTCAGGAAGCTGGTTTGCACTCTGTGACGTGGTAAATTACCCAGCAGGTTGCCCTGACGTGCCAAGTGGCCCCCATGAGCCTGATCATTGATGAGGCTCATCAGGGTGGCTTTTCCCCCTTCTCCCTTCTTTCTCTCCCACTTTAATGCATTATTGTATTTCTATGTATGTTTTTTCTATTGTAAGCTGCCCAGGGAGCCCTATGGGCTATGGGGTGGCACACAAATGTAATAAATGATAAGAAATCTTCACTCTTCTAGAGCCCTACCTGCATTTTGATTGAACACAGCATCTGAAGACTAAGGCTGCTATTGAAAAAGTTATCTCAGGTATGCCAAAGGAGGATGTGAGCACACGTTTGACTTTCCTGCTCAGAGCTATGAATACTCAGTGAATATTCTTCACCCTTGAGAAATGACTGCACGAAATTCCCCATTGCTCGGGCCACCATAAGATCTACATCAAAACTAAATGATAGGAGACAGGCGTACGGATGGGGAGGCCTGTTTTCAAAGGACAAAGGGGCCCGCTTCTTTCCCCCTGCACTTTAGGAAAGGTAATCATTGAACTTGGCCAATGGGAACCTGATGTCCCCTTGAGTGAACTGTATGCTACAAGAGTAAAATGCCGTTGATCCGTGGCCAGTAATCTGTTCCTAATTGTAATCAGAATAATCAATTTGTAGACCTGCCTGGGAATGGGGCTGTATAAGTTTACACAGCACTTGAGAACCATCCCCCCAGCTTTCTTTGGTTCGAGAAATATTATATTAGAAAGCCAAAAGGTCAGTCTGAAACAGATGAATTCATGCAACTTTTGATAATTGAGCCTGGATATGACATCATAGGATGACATAAACTAACAGCCACCCCTCTGAGGGAACCGGGCATTAGATAAACCTCACCTGGAATTCCAGAGCAAGTACAAATTGGACAATTTGCTTAAGGAGAGACCAGACCCTTACTAATAAATGTGGCATGATAACTCAATCTGTGCTCGAGTGAACACTTTCCAAAACACACAAAAGCAGCAATTCCTTTTGCATGTGTGTGCTTTCAACCAGTTAATTGAGAGCAACAGATCTAATTGTGCTGGAAGCCACAGGATACCTTGCAATCATTCCTGGTACGACCAGACGGTATTCTTCAGGATGGGTTAGTGCTGTCAGGGCAACCCTTCATGCTGTGCAACAGACAGGCTCTGCCTTGTAACCAGGAAATCAACGCTCTCCCAGGAATCACAGGATAAATATTGCTAGCTGGGAGTTAAAATGGCGCTACCTGCCTCACCTAATGTGCATTTCATTTGCTTTTCTTTGGCTTACCTTGCTGTGATCATTTTCAGTCACGGAGAGGATACTGGAGACAATGCAGTCATATTGCTGTTTAATTTTATCAAGATATTGCTTGGTTCTGCTAAACCTGATTTCCCTTCCTGGCTTATATTTATCAACATCCACTAAATTGCATGGTTTCCTTAGATGCTTTATATATTCATCTGTTCGTATGGGGCAGGGGGAAACATTTGGAGTCAGCAAAAATGTCAGCAATGTACTCACAATATTTTGCTTAAATGCTATTATTATTACTAATTTACACCAGACTTTTAAACATGTAAGGCATCTTTTAAACACAGTTTTCTTTGTCTTCAAGTCAACTATGATTTTATAAATGGGTCAGTTAGGCTGAGATGTTAACTTGCACATAGCCGTCATCTCTTTTCTAAGAACCCTTTTCTCCATCATGAGGGATGGTCGGCTGCATGCACTTACCTGTCCCCAGGTGGAGGTTGCCCACTCCACACACAGCTGCCGGTTGCAGCTCTGAGTGTCGACTGGACGCTTGGCCACCTGAACACACGCGTCATTGGGCATGGGGACGGAGTTTCCCGCAGCTGTCAGCTTCTGACACGTCACCCGCCGGGTCTGGATGCCTCCACCACAGCCCTGTGTACACTGGGACCACGACGTCACCATCCACCTGATGCGAGGAGGAGGGGAGGTAGAATTACTGATGGAGGACCGGGAGAGGACCACACGCTTTCCTTTGAAGTACTGTCTTTTCAGGCCTTGGATTCTGCATCTGGATTCTTTGTGGGATAAAAGCAGTTCCTTTAAACGTGTTCTCCTGCCCCTCTGTCCCCTCATGGCGCTTCTTTTTACAGCTTTCCTGTATGTTTTATTACACAATTACAATGTGCTGCTCTGATGTAGCAGAATTGCCAGACTACATGAACTATTCATAGTACAATCTCCAGAGAATACTGGATTTTCCTTGCTCTAAAAGAAGTTGCAAAGCATGGGAGAGGCCCTGGAGGAAGACAATGCCATGTAAAGCACCTGCCAGGTAAAGCACCTTCAGTGAGGAATCCTGAGTGCACAGTTGCGTAGAGAAGCCCTGAGGATGCTCAATACTTGCAGAATGTTAATTTTCATTTGGAGAAGAAAACGGGGGGTGAGAAGCTCGGATGTTCTGCTCCAATACTTATAGCACCCAAGAGGAAGGCAAGGCTGGCCTGCTGGAACCTTCTTGTTAGCAGTGATAACACACTGCAATATTTTGTCCCATTTCCCCTGGTCTCTCTATGCCATGGGTCCTCAAACTAAGGCCCACGGGCTGGATCCAGCCCGCCATGCCCATTTAACCGGCCCGCCCCACAGGTTTTGCATTCATCGGGTGCGCGCGGGTGTGTGGCTTGCTCGTGAGGAGGTCATTTTGGACTTGCTTGGAGAAAACGATCTCCTCCTGAGCAAGCCGGTGCCTTGCCCTGCGCACCCACCCCCATCCCTGCCTCGCTGTGCGTGTGCACACGCGTGTGCATGTGCCCTGCTCCGACCCTTGCCTGCGCCCCCCCACCGGCACCGCCATGGCAGCCCACACCCACCGCTGGCACCTGTCAACTGGCCCCCTGTTGAAAAAGATTGAGGACCCCCGCTCTATGCAATGCAACTTTGTCCTTAGCAGCAGTGGGAAGAACTCTCCCAGCCATCTCAGGAACAAGTGCTCTGAAACTTGGAAAATAGTTTGGCTTGTACCGGACCTACTTGGATCGAAGGAGCATGACAGGGTCCTCTGCTCTTTTGTTTGCACACCTATGGCAGGATACTGAGTGTGAGGAACTGTGGGAAATGTAGTTTTCCAAATGCTCCTGTCACATGGTAGTAGCACTGGGGAAACTGCATAGCAATCCATTGCCTTAAAAGCATGGCGGCTGTCGTAAAGGTGAAGAGACTTGTTGAGATGACATCTGGAAGGAGGCATGTGGAATGGGGTGGATCGGGAAAAAGGCCTTAAGGACTTTTCTTCCTTGGATTAAAATTCCAGCCAGAGATGCACTTTTTAGACCACAACTTTGACTTAATTTTACCTATTTAAACTTCTGTAGGAATCATGGTTTTGGGCTGTAGTTCCCATGCATGTCAAGGCTTCTGTCAAGGTGAAAGGCCAAGAACAGAAGTTATATTCCTTGAACAGTTTTTGTGAACTATATCCAGAATATACAGTTTTCCTACTGGAAGATTCTAGATTTAAAACCTTTGACTTTCCTCTTTGTGTGTGTGTGTGTGTGTGTGTGTGTGTGTGTGTGAGAGAGAGAGAGAGAGAGAGAGAGAGAGAGAGAGAGAGAGAGAGAGAAGGTAATGACAACTGTGTTAGAGACAATGATTAATAAATAGATAAATAAGGGGAGTTGGTTTGTCCCCTTGGTATCAAGTTGCTGCTGCTACTGGTTAATTCTGTTAATTTCTCAACAGCCTTTAACAAACAAGAGCGCTACAGCTTCTCTTGCAAATCTGCTTTACATTTTTGCGTTCTCTGAGCCTAGATAAGCCATTTCCGTAGATCCCCCTCCCTCTCCCAGTTCCATTCTTACAGTGCAGAGCCTGCCATATCTCAGGTCCCCTTTGTGGTGGGCTGCTTGAGCCAGCAATTAAAGGCTGGATTTCAGTCCTCAAGCTTTGAGACCGAATGGTTCAGAAGCCCTCTTTTTCAGACCTTTCTAGCCATCAGGTGAGTTGCTGTATGAATGCTCCAAATGTCCAGTATCTCTCTCTAGAGACAGTACTTTCACAATTCTGGTAAGCTGGTGGTGAGTCGGACGTAAGCATCTTATAGGTGACTGGATCAGGGAAAGACACCCAGCCTGGCACTGAGGGAGGTTGAAAGGAGCTTTGGCTCTCCTCTCAGATACGTGGTGGAGTTCCGGACTAGATTTAGAATGTGGAAGAGGTGGAAGAAAGCTGGTGGTTGGTTCCATTGGACAGCTCTCATCAAATCAGAGACTGAGCTTCATATCCTGCCTCCCCATCCCAATTAATGTGCCTGAAAGCAATGGAGAAAATCCCATTGATTCTGTTTTTGTTTAGTTTTCAATTAAGTTGATGAAATAAAGCAAAATGGTGCTTTCAGATTACTTAAGACTAGCCTTTCCCAATCTGCCAACCCTCAGATGTGTTGGATTACAATTCTCACCATCCCCAGACAGTGTGACCATGCCGAATGATGGGAGTTGTAGTCCAATGCCGAATGATGGGGGCTGTAGTCCAATGCCTCTGGAAGGTGGTGGCTTGGAGAAGGCTACTATAGGGCACAATTCTATATCCTGTTCCCTTTATGCCCATAAGCATTTGGATTTGGAGACATATCTGCATTCTGGTCCCAGAGCAAGCCCTGGGGGTGGCAGGCTCCGCTACTGCCATGCTTCGCACTGGGGATTTTATCTAGACAGCTGTTTTCAGCAATGTAGGTTTAGTGCCAGGGAAGGGGAGGAAAGGAGGCTGAGGCGCTAATAGGAACTGGAATAGGTTGGATGCCCAGAAAGCCTTTGATAATGTTAATTGGCAATTCATGAAGCAACAGATGGCTCAAATGGAGTTTGGAGGAAAATTCATGAACACGATACCAACTATCTATCAAAGACAATCGGCCAGGATTTTAATTAATGGAGAACTTACAAGGGCTATAGAGATACAAAAGGATGCCCGTTGTCACCCCTATTGGTCATTCTGACTTTAGAGGTTTTGAATGGAATTGTTAGGGATGATGAGAACATTAAGCGTACTAAGATTAGAGACGAAAGTTATAAATTGCAAGCATTTGCAGATGATTTGGTCTTCATAACAGAGGAACCTTTTGTAACAATCCCCAAGCTTTTACAACGGATTGAAGAATATGGTGAGGTTACGGGGATGAAAATAGATAAAGAAAAAATGAAACTTTTAGTTAAAAATCTTATGCAAGATCAGAAAAAAAGACTCCAAGAACAAGTGGACTTGCAGATTGTCAAAAAGGTTAAATACTTGGGAATCTATCTTACAGCTAAATGCACAACTTTGAAAGAAGACGATTACGATACATTATTGAAGGGCATTAAAGGTGACCTGGAAAAATGGGCCAATTTGCAATTGCCTTTGATGGGAAGAACAGCACTGGTTAAAATGAACATACTACCAAAACTTTTGTTTTTGTTCCAAATGATTCCCGTAAAAATTGATAAAAATTTTTTTGAGGATTTAAATCTTCAAATTTCAAGATTTATTTGGAGAAAAAAGAAATCAAGGATTAAATTAAAAATGCTCCAAGAAGCCAAAAAGAATGGGGGTTTTGGTCTTCCTGACTGGATGTTCAGGAAGAGAGAAGGCTATGGCAGCCTTCTGAGAAGGCTATGGACCCCTAGGGATGACTGGAATATCGATGGGAGGACATATGGCATCATTAGCAGTGTCAAACTGGCCTAAACCTTTACCATTGATTCCTTGTCTCTCCTGGTCTACAGCCTCTGGTGTTTTTACTACGGGTGTACTGAGCAAAGCAGTGAACTGGAGAGAATTAGAGAAACAGTATTATACTCACAGTGTTTATGAAGAAGAAATAATTCAAATGCTTGAATATTGTGGAGTAAGTTAATATTTTTCTTGTTGAAAAATGAAACGCTGCACAGTTTGTGAAAGATGCATTCAATGCTGCTGTACCTCTGTGCCAATTGGATCAGTGGTCTTGGGGTTGTGTTGTTATTGTTGCTTGTCACCTAATTATGATTGTTTTACTTTTGTTTTTGTGTATGTGTTTTAACCTTGTAAACCGCCCAGACAGCCTTTGGGCTATTCGGCAGTAAAAAATGTAAATAATAATGCATATCCCAGTGCTTAATAATAGAAATGTTGTATTATCAAGCGTCTATTTTAACTTGGCTAAAAGAATGGGTAACTTTGCAAAATAAGATAATTTTGTATCTTGAAGGTCATGATTTGCAAATGGGTTGGCATGCTTATATGTGGTATGAGAAGGTTAAGTCTCATGGGACTTTTTAAAGTCACTTTATTAGAAGATCATTAATGTCAGTGTGGGAAAAGTTAAAGTCAAAATTGTATAATAAATTACCAAGATGGCTTTCACCAATGGAAGCCTTTGTGTATCCAAATGTATTGAATTTTGAAAGGATCATAAGATATGATGATATTTTTGACAAGGATGGAGGCCTGAAACTAGATCAAGAAATACAAGAACAGGGACTCAATATCTCTTGGTGGTATAAGGTGCAGACGCAATCAAGATATGCTAAAGATTGTAAAATATGGGGGTTTTATAAAGATCCAACAGCCTTTGATCAAGTGATGCTAGAAACAGATGAGAAAATGATCAAAAGAATTTATGAGTTCTTACTTGACAGGAAGTTGGAAGGGGAACAGGTTAAGGAAACTATGATAACATGGGCACAAAATTTTGGATATAATATTGAATTAGAAAAGTGGCAAAAGCTATGGGAAAGAAACATTAAGGTAACTTTAGCAACTTCTTATAAAGAAAATTTATATAAAATGTTTTATAGATGGTATTTGTCGCCAAGTCGATTAGCTAAGATGTTTCCAAATATGTCAAACGGATGTTGAAAGTGTAAACATGATGTGGGTACTTTTTACCATATGTGGTGGACCTGTGAATGTGTGAAAAAGTATTGGATTAAAATACATAAATGGCTTGAGGAAATGCTACAAAAACCCTTAGCTTTTAAACCTGAAATTTTCTTGTTAGGCATTATACCAGAAAATATTAGCAAACAAGAAATGTATCTGATGCTACATTTAATCACAGCGGTGAGGATTGCGTTTGCTCAGTACTGGAAGAATGAGGAATTACCCACTGAGCTGATTTTAAAAGAGATTCTGGACTGTGCAGAAACGGACAGATTGACTCTATTACTGAAGGAGAAAGAAGATACTGACTTCTATCAAACTTGGGACCTTTTTTATGATTGGCTGGAGAAACGGGACTTGGCTTAGATTTAAAGATGTTCTTAAATTTTTATAATGATTATAGAATGGTAAAAAGATATGTTATAGGGGGCTGACCCAGTACCTCCGATGTATTAGATGATTGATGTTTTTAGTTTTTTTTAGTTTAAACATTTTTTTCAATAAAAATCTTTATTAAAAAAAAACGGAACTGGAATAGGAACGAGAACCTCCTCCCCACTGCTTGGTACCCCCCTTCGCCCCACCCAGGTCCCATTTGGAGGGTGGGCAGCCAGCCCATTTCTTTCTGCACTAAGGGCGCAGAGCAAGGCCTCTTACGTATTCCCAGAGGAAGTCTGTACCCTTAGACTACCAAATTGGAAGAGCCATTGCCTACTTTCATTCTTGTGTCACTTATTGAGGTCCCCAAACATCCCTAGGAACATGTCAGTGAAGGAAAAGGTGCTGCCAAGGAAAGAAAATATACTCTTCCCCTTTCTTTTTATACAGTTGGGAGAGGTCATATCCACAGCTTTTCGGCCCCTTGTAAATTTCAGTCCTGCATTAGTGACCTCTTTCTGTCTCCAAACATACACACATTTCATCAGTTTCTTGGGAGTCAGGAAAGCAGCATGGGCAGCACTGCATTTTAGGAAGGGGCTAATGTGAGTAAATCATTCCCGCAGAAGTATTCCCATCAGCAAGTCAGATGTTTGCCAGTATTAATGAGCATGTTTCAGATTTCACGAACTCTCCTGGCCCCAGCTGTTCCTGACGATTCAGTTGGCCATGCAGAGATGCCTTGCCTAAAGCAGAGGTGTGTGAAACATTATGGAAAAGTAATAAAAGGTAGGAGACATTTTCATGATAGTGACTCCATGCTGGTTCTGATCCTTATTTATTTGTTTGTTCTCTATTCTGCTGGTACTGCTACATTGATAAAATGCTGAGGTCACAGGATCCTCGGAAACTACTTTATATAATTTGTCCTTCCAGCTCAGTAATGTGGACAGCAGCCTCCCCAACCTGAATCTCCCCAGGAGTTTTGTTCTACAGCTCCCATCATCTCTCACTACTGGCCATACTGGCTGGGGCAAATGGGAGTTGTGATCCAAAGTATCTGAAGTGACCCTTTTTGGGGGAGGCTGATTTAGAGTGACCAATGGAAGCTCCTTAGAGGATCCAATGGGGCAATAGGCAGCCTTAGCTGGAGATGCAGGGACTGAACCTTCACCTTTTACATGCAAAACATGCGTGCTAATATTGGGCCACAGCCCTCCCGCAAGTAATTTCTGAGTGCATGTGGAAGTGCACTGCTGTTTCATACAGTCTGCACCCCACCACCCCGAATGCATGGCTGAAAAGCATCCTCTCCCAAGTGCAAGTTTAAGAATCTTTATAGTCAAGCTAGGACTGCAGAACATGGAGTGTGGCCGGCAGATTAGATTACTTACTTAAAATCAATGTTTTCATGTGCTTAGCTATATGTTTCCAGCCCTTACAGCTAGAAGGAAGGATTCTGGCTTTCTGTTCCTGCTAAAGGCCTTGGAATCAGAGATGATTTGAAGGTGGTTCCAAGGACTGGTGGCTTTTATTCAGCATGTCTTCCAACTCTATTCATTAGCCCACAGAACTAAGGAACTTGTTACACTAATTGCAGTAAGATGGGGCATGGCCTTCATTGTATGAAATGACTGGAGGAGTTGTAGCATCTTACCTCTGTTGTACAATCTGTCATCACTAAAAACTGACAAGTTCTCAGAGGAATATTCTCTCCAGGAATTTTGAGAATGACTCAGTCTAACAATGCAACAACATGAGGTGAAAATAAAATGGCAGAGGGCTGAGGTGGTGTGGTAGACTGGACTGTACACTTGAGAAAGATGCTACTCCAAACTGTCCCATTTGTTCTGTTACTTTTCTACTTACATATATCTGTAAAAATAACACAACAGGGAGTAAGGCGGAAGGTAGAAACTTTTTCACCCAAATGCCATATTTTTACATGTGCTCGGTATCCAAGCTTGGTACCCAAAGCAAAAAATCCTATAAGCATGTCTCCTTGGGAGTAAAAAAAATGCTAATAATAAATTTAAAAGTTACAATTTGGTGACCTTCTATGAGAAATGAGCTTTTTGAGATAGCCATGTCCCTCTGCTTAAAGGTAAGTAGTCCTCTGCTGGCTCTGTACATTGACTCTTGATTTAAACCAGGCAGTTTATAACATCCAAGACAACCTTCACTTTAATAGCAATCTATTCTGATCAGCACACACTTAGACAGGCAGTGATGCAAGAAAAAAGTGAATGATTATTAGTCTCCACTGAGATTTTACAACATATACTGAACATTTCAGTAGAAGGCCAAACCTTGCGGGACAATCTCTTCTGTTGCAAGCAACAGGGTTCAGAGCTGGTTTGGGCTTTTCCATGCAGTGGGACATGTTAACTTGCGTTCCATCAAGCAAACATCTCAGCTGGTGATATTGTAGGCCCTTGTTACCACAGGAGGCTGAACAGGGTGACATCTTATCCACTGACCACCAATAATCTGAAACGGCAACACAGCATCCAGATTAACCGATCAGTAGATCTTTACGAGTGTGGGCGGAACCAAACAGATGATCACAGTCCTTGGTCTTACCCTGAAGAAAACTCAAGTTCAGTCTGAAAATGGACTAACTACAGGGCACTGGACAAAGGCCCGCCTAGGCCAGGGTTCTCTGTCCAGTTGTCCGGCCACATGAATTCAGAAACCCACACTCACAGATTTCCTGCAGTGGGACGAACAGGAGAATTAGGATTTGGGATCTGGACTAGGAAAGTGGCAGGGGGGAAAGGGTTAACCCCCTCCCCACCTGACTCAACTGTTATAATTTAGAACCCTGCCTCTGTAGCCACCTTTAAATTTAAAAAAAGGAAGATCCAGTCATGAATCTCCTGTCCATCATTTAGTTTGGCCCTTAGAAAAATAGTTACTCTCTGATTCCTGCATTTTTGGAAATTTCCAATTCCTATGAGTATCCCATGGGAATTTCCAGTTCCATGTGAGGAAAGGTTACTGCTTTGGAATTAAATCCAGCCATCTTCTATGATATGGCGAAAATTATTTTGAGCTCATGGAAGTATTTTGGAGGTGTAGGATAGTATCCAAGTCTGCCCACCCATGACCAGGGCCCACTCCCACTTTCATTCTGCAAGTAGCCAGCCTCATTCAAGCGGCAGCCACTGCTCTCAGAACAGGGATTTAGCATTTCTGGGTCGGCCTGAAATCAAAGGGAATATTCGTTTCTGGAATCAGATGGGTTGGCACAGCTTGTGGAAGGGAGATTTACCAGTCTGCCCTGCCCTGTTGCCCCCAGAAGCTCTAAATCTCCTCTGATATTGTTTTGCAAATGGAAAGCACTGCACGTGGAAGGAAATTAGCACAGCTAGTATCAGGGTGTATACTGATACTGTGTGTCTTAAATCATCGCTATTTCCCCCACCAGACAAAATGGATTTTGTAAAATGGGATCATCACTTTCAGTTTCATCTTAATGTCCTGATATCAGTACAGTGTGATACTCAGATATCAGCCGTGTTTGTGCAATGTTGTATACGATGAATATAAAAATGGATGCCAGAGCAATTCATGCAGTCATTGCCATCTGTGGTACATGGTCATCGCATTTTTGCCCACTATAAGCAACTATTCACGGCAGTTGTGCTGTCTGAGAATGACACCATAGTTCACCGATACAAAATTGAGAACAATGGAAGAGGTTGCGTCTTCTTATTTTGTTGCCCATACAACATTCTAAACATGGCATCTTGATCATCTGCGAGGGAAGAGGCAACTGCATGTGACTTCGTGGGACTCACAAGTCGACAACTGTACAAATTGTTCCCATGCTATTACATTACTTACAGGATTTCTGACACCATCCTCAAAAGAGCACTCAAAACCACGGAAAATGTTCTTTAGAGAACATTTGGGAAAACAGCTTACATAGATTCCAAAATGTATAACTCCCTTGAGTGTGATTGGCATTCCAAACTCAAAACTCTGTGCAACTCTGTCAGAATTTATGAACTAATTTGAAAGTTCCTTTACAAAGTTATTCTTTATACAAAATGCTTTAATTAAACACATGATATGTTTCAAGTATACAGTTTGATGTGGATATTTGGTCGTGGGTGCCAGTGACAAATGCATTCCCTTTTTGTGCTTGTTGTCAACAGGAAAAATTCTGTGCCATTATGAGAACTCAACACCACCGGTAATTTCGTGAAGTTCAACTCCTGTTGACCAGAAATTTCTGCATTTGATACGCACTTTAAAACTGTATCACCATCCTGTTATGCCAGTTCCAAGCATCCAGAACGATATATGGGCTTTGTTTTTACCTTGGATCACCAGATGTGCTTTCTGGACAAGCAGGCCTGCCTCATTCTGAGCCATGCAGCTGATTTCGCCCTCATAATCACTGCTGATGTTCAGTATCTGAAGGACCTGTCCAGACGCCAGCACATGGTGAGGCTTACTAATGGGCTGGCCAGCATAAAACCAGGTGATGTTTGGGGTTGGGTGACCATCCACTGGGCAGCCTAAAAAACAAGTAGGTCAGATTGGAAGCAACAGATACCAAATGCATCAAGTATTCCATAACATAACACAGTTCTTGTAGGAACTGTGGAAAGAAAATACCAGCAGCAACCCAGCTAATTTCAATGGCATGTGGTTTTCTCACACAGGCTGCATGAACTTGTAGCCGACTCCTGGGCTCAGAGTGCTGCCCCGACTGTGGCTTATTCTAGTGGCAGCCAAAAGTGCAGCAGCTTTTTGAAATATCTGGTAAAATTTGTTATACTGGCACTTGCATAAAATATATTGAAGTAGGGATAGGCAATTTTTGTGATCGCTGAGGTTCTCTGAATACTCCTTTGCTGCTTACCTGGCCTTGTTTCCCATGTTCAGTTGTGCTCTTTTTGCATTTTGTTTGAAGAGGAAAAGGGTAGATTTTGAATGGAGAAAAGATACATGTTAAGAATGTGGCTTCTAAAAGTGCACGCTTTTTAAAATTGGGCATTTTTCAAAATCAGATTTGGGAAAGAACCAGCATATTTGGAAAACTTGCTTTCCTGCTCATATTCAAGTTCTGGGTTGGAAACTCGACATTCTCTTAATACTGAATTCCCCACAAGTAAGTATGGGGAGATACTGAAAAGCAACAAACTCATTGCTTGAAGAATCCATGATGCCTTTGCAATGTATATGGTCCACATGTATATGTTGGAGCAGGTCTGGCATCAGGGACAAGCATCCCAGGGCGTTTGCTAAGACTGATGCCCCAGCATGGGAGCACGGCTGATCCCTGTGCTTCCTGGCCACACACTTCCTTCCCCTTGCTGTAGATGCTCAGTCACGTATGCGCTCCAAGTAGCTGAGCAGGAACAAGGAGTGGCAGCCCCTCTTGCTTTGCCCGCTTCTTCTGGGCAAAAATAAGGACTTCCCTTCCTGAATGCTTGCAGTCACAGATGCCGCATGCTTATTTCCCTAATGAATACGTCTGGCAGCCAAGGATACTATGCTGACACTTGAGCTGCAGGCTTTGCAGGGCTGGCTGAAGATATTTGGTCTGCCGTGACGGAGAACCAGTGCTGCGCCCCCACCCTTCCTGTCGGGGCACCAGCCTATCCAAGGCTAACCAGGCTATTTTAGCACCTCAGGCAGAAATCCAGCCAGCACCTTTTCTCCTCCTGGCTGTAAAAACACAACAACTGCGATGCATTTACTATTTGCAGCATTTTCAAAATCTTCTGTCCAGGGCAGCTGCCTCACTTTGCCTAATGGTAGGGCCAGGCCTGGGGTTTCACTGGCTATGAGGAAATAAGCAGATCTGCTGTTTGCTTCCACCTGGCTTAGTGCAAGTGTGCTGAACTGCAGGCCCAGAGGCCAAATTTGCTCCCCTGGGGTCACAATCTGGCCATGTGGGGTTTTCCAGAGGGCCATCCCTTTTCTCCAGACCTCCTCCTCTTTGCCCTGCCGGATCTCCAGATCCTGCAAGTTTTCACCCATGCTGAAATGCTGAAAGGCTACTCCTAAGGTTTGAGTTAAAACCTTGGGTAATTTTGGTGTTTGGGGCCTTCTCCCTTTGGCCACATCTACCACTGGAATGCAACATTCAAGAGTTTCTCTGAAATTGCATCCAGCCCTTGGGCTTAAACTGGCTCACTGTGGCAGTGATCCGGGAGCTGGTGTATCAGAGTCCGTGTTTTCCAAGCCTAATCTGCACTTCATCCATGAATTTGTGGAGTGATGAATGGAGGCAAAGGAAAAGCAGGAAGCGGGAGAAGGAATCTCTTGATTCTGTCCCCCATTATTTCTCATGGCTTGTGCATATATGTATGCAAGAAAAGGGTTTTTAACATCTTCAGTATTAGACCCAAAGAGACCATGGATGCGCATGGTGGGGAAACATAGGCAAACTATTCTGTCTCCTGAATCAACAAAGAGAGTGGCCCCTGGAGTTTCACTTCACAGTCACTGGGAATGAAGTATGAAAACAGGAACACGCATGCCTGCTCTCCAAGACCCCAACATTACGCTTGCGAGTGCTGGCAGTTGGGGAAACCTTGCTTTGACTTGTGCACTGAGCAAAGCTGATATGGAAGGCACCAGGGGAGAAGACAATAAATATGGAACAGCAGGATTTCCTTTTTACAGTTGACTGTACTTCTCTGCTCATAAAATGCACACTTTATTGGCTCACTCAACTGTTATTGTTTCATATCTCCTATAAATAAGAACTTTATGATTTCTTAAAAATACCTTGCACAGAAAGTCTGAATCATACATACGCTGGACATCAGTCAAGGTAAGGGGTAAAGAAAGATTTTCATTAGCACAGGAGGATGGTTTGGACAATAAGACTATGGTGCTCGTCTGATCTTTTGGACAACAATGCTCAAAATCCCGGATTGTGACTGTGCTGTCTGGGGATGATTAGCATTGTAGTCCAAACCTTCTGAAGGGCGCAAAGTTGTTTATTCCTGACCAAGTCTGCCATCAGCCCATCCTGGATGGGCCTGCCATGTCCATCAAGGACCAAATTCAGCGTCCAGTGACATCATCACACCTGGCCTTGTCTTTAGAGGCACCGAGGGTATTTTTCACTAGCTTGGGCGGTGACCCCTGGGATTAAGGTAGCCTGGCCACAGTTACATATGCCTGGCAAACACCCTGTTTGGGCTGCTGCAACAAACTCCGCGTGGGCCTGCAGTTTGGGCAATCTGCTTAAAATTGTGAATATCAGTCATAAGTGGTGGCGGCGGCAGCAGCAGCAGTGAAATCAGGATAAAGAAGGGCACTCAACTCATTTCTGCCATCCTGTGTTTCCATGGAAAATCCTTCTCCACTGCACCCCAAACCGTTAATTGCCTTAGGAGGGAAACTTCCACTGGTTCAAATGGAAGCATCCCTTGCTTGTCAAAGAGCGTCACCTTTTTAAACCATTCCTGTGGCATGGCAGGAAGAGGTTAAGCAAGGCTTCTCTCTTGATTGATACCTCCTGCCCAGGATGGCCATTTACAGTTTCTAAAAGCTTCATGCACCTGTGACTCATTTAACATCACATCATGAAGCTCAGTCCTCACTAAGGTTGCCCAAAGTGGGAACAAACAGAATTGAATTACCTTTGGGAACTGGCCGAAGACTAAACCAGATGTGATGTGGCATTTCTGTGTGTTTAAATACAGAATTGTGCCAATCAAGCAGAAAGAAAATGGGGGGGGGGCAGGCTTGATTTCAACAGCAAAATGACTGTGTGGATGAGGAATACAAAGACGTCCCCCAGCCACAGCTTCTCTGTCTGATGAGCGCTCTTCTCTTCATGCAAGATCTGATACTGGGTGTGAATTTTCAGTTGAGTGAAAAACAGCTTGGAAAAGGAGCAAGGAAGACTCTCATCTGTGCGCCCATTTTCTTGTTAAGATTGGATCTCATGCTCCCTTCCAATTTGATTGCAAGAAGTTATCCAGAAATTCCATGTAACTATTGCTGCCATGTCTAGCATTTCTCTCAGATAACAAAACTTCTATATGCACAGCAAAAGAACACTGAAACAATCTATTTCCATTTTTCGATCCAATAAAGCTGCAATGATAAAAAAGAGAATCAACCTTTTCCATAGAAATATTTATTCCTGTTTCTTGGAAAAAGTGACAGCTTTATTCTTAAATGCATAACATAGTAAGGTTTTTAAAAAAATAATTGGGAGAGCAAAATATTTTTTAAAATGAAAATGGATATTTTTCAAAATGTTTTGAGGTGGCTGTTTACAGGTACGTGGTAACGTATCCGAAAGAGCACTAATGAAGGAACTGAGGCAGATGGCATAGCTTTATGACTTTTTACTTTTAAAGCTTGAATTCTTCTAAAAATCCTAAGAGGTAACTGCCATGGATAGATTTACTGTCTTTGATTTAGTTTCCAACTAAGTATTCAAGTGTTTCTTATACTCAGATTTCTCTTAAATATTTGTGATCTTAAGCTTCATTGCAAACTCTGCTGCATCTCCCTTCCTCTGGCTGCATTATTGATGCTGTCCAAGTTATTTATTATATGTATATATATCAAACACAGAGTGAAAGAGAGGGTGGGGGAGAGACTAAGAAGTTTGCAGAACTGATCTACAGTTACACTTAGTTTTCCTTGGGTGCTGACATTTGATTTTATGAAATCATCACACTTCAGGAAGATTGTATCTCTGCTAATTCAAAGAAATGTGAGGGAAGGGAAACACTAGGGCTTATTTGTCAAATGTTTCCACTTTTTGGCACAGCAAAAATGGGTATTTTGAAGTAGCGGGAGTAGGTGTCCAATTAATATTTTGACACAGTGAACTGAACAAAAATCCTCCAATCTTCACCACTCTTTGTAGCTCTTCTATTTGACAGTTAATTAAGCTACAGGAGTCATTTGCAATAAACCTCCTGAAGCAGCACAATATAAGACCTGTAAGCTGATTTTTTTGCATGTATAAAAAGAGAAGGCAACAATTTTGTGGGTCAGATTCTTTGTAGTAAACACCTAGCATTTTGGAACACTGGAGAACAGATTCATGATCAGCTCTCTCACTAAAAATGACAGCAAAATCTTAAAGGCAGTTTTGTCCGAGTGTTTAGAATTAGATTAGAAGCCTTCCCCAAGTGGTTCTCTCCAGATGTTCTAGACTACAATGCCCAGTATTCCTGATCATTGTCCATATTAGCTGGGGCTGGTGGGAGCTGAATTACAAAATATTCAGAGGGAAGCAAGCTGGGAAGGCTGAATTAGAGCAACAATGCTGGGGAAGCCCTGTTATTTATAATTTTGTTTTATAATCTATTTACAAGCCAGTTTTAAACAGTTTAACCTACCTATAAGCACCGATATCCCGGGGCTCAGCAGTTTCTTTGTTCCTGAAGGAGATGCTATGACAGAAGGAACACCTGGACCTGTGATGGATAAAGTGGCTGCCATGTCTTCCAGCTGGCGGGGCAGTTGTGGTGGATCTGGGAACATATTGAAAAGACTTAAGATACAACAAGGAAATCTTTTAGCAGACAAGAATAATTCCTGGTCTTCTTTAGTTCCATTTGCTTTATTATTTCTGCACTGGAATATGAACTTCTCAATAGGATAATATATTCTGCTTGAATGAATAGGAGGCAGAAGAGAAATGGTAAAACAACAGAAACAAAAACAAAATAGACCTCTGGCCATAAATGAGTGACATTAACAGCAGGCAGATCCCAAACAGATGCAGTGATATGGTTCAAATAACTCCCAGATGAACAGAGCTAACCTATGGTATCTGACCCACGCTAAGGCTAACCACTGTTCTATGGAACACAATGTCACAGGTCATTTTCAGTGGTCACTTTTTACAAAGAATTAATTCAACTGGGAGAAGGTATAAAACAGAGGCATGGACTCCATTTCTGGTGACTTCTCTTCCTCTGACTATTAAGATGTTCTGGTAGAATAATGAAAGGTGATGGGCATAACTTTTATTTCTCTGTTTATGATCCTCAGAAGCAAGGATGCTAAGCTCCTCTCAAAAGAAATGTTCACTAATGGAAAAGGATGCTAATATTTTATAGAAACATAGAAACGGAGCGAGTCAGAACAGGCTTCCTGGGCCATCTAGTCTGACCCCCTGGCTCCAGCCAGCTCCACTCATGACATGCCTACTGTGTGCATGTCCAGCCTGTCCTTAAACACCCTCACCTATGGGGCTTCAACCACCTCCGGTGGAAGCCCATTCCATACCCGCGGGGTCCTAACCACCAGAAAGTACTTCCTGGCATCCAAATTGAACCTTGGTTCCTGAGCTTTGCTCTACTGGAACATGTCCTGCCCTGCTCCACAGGGGAAAACAGGTCTCTACCCACCTCTGTGTGACACCCCCCATGTACCTATATGTTGCTAACAAATCCCTTCAGAGTCTTCTCTTCTTCAGGCTGAAAAGACCTAGTTCCTTCAGTCTCCCCTCAGACGGCTTTCCCCGCAATTCAGCCACTACCCCTGTGGTACTACACTGCACTGACTATATCCTTCCTGTAACAAGGGGCCCAGAACTGAACACAATACTACAGTTGAGGGCGCATCAGAGTCATATAGAGTGGCAGGAATACTTCTCTTGATCTAGAAGCTATGCTTCTGGCTATGCCACCAAGGGTGGCGTTTGCCCTCTTGACCACTGTGTCACACTGCTGTCCCATGTTTAGCCCGCAGTTGAGCAGTACCAAGATCCCTTTCACAAGAGCTGCTCTCCAGCTACTTGTCCCCTAACCTGTACTTGTGACACCTGTTCCTATGCCATGAGTTCAATCCCTTACACTTATCTGCATTGAACTCCATTCTGTTGTCCCCTGCCCACTTCCATAGTCTGGCCAGATCCTCCTGGATCCGGAGTACCTGCTCCTTAGTTGTGGCTGCCCTAACCGCCCCCATTTTAGTATTGTTTGTGAATTTGATCAGCGGACTGGTCACTCCCTCTTCCAGGTCATTGATGAAAAGATTGGACAGGATTGGTCCCAGGACAGACCCCTGGAGGATCCTGCTCATCACTGGCTGCCAGCCTGATGATTCCTCACTAATAGTTACCCTCTGCTTTTGGTCTGTCAACCATGCCCTAATCCATCAGACAGTGCATTGGTGTATCCCAAAACACCTCTGTTTCTCAACCAGGATATCATGGGGCACTTTGTCAAAGGCCTTGCTGAAATCCAGGTATACCACATCCGCTGCATCCCCTCCATCTAGCCACCTCGAAACCTTGTCATAGAATTCCACAGGGTTTGTCTGCCAGGTCCTGTTTTTGCAGAAGCCGTGTTGTGTGGCTACCAACCTCCCTTCCCTCTCTAGGGTTACTAGATATCTCGCTATTACGAGCCTTTCCATTGTCTTTCCTAGGATGGACATATGAATTTCTCTGCGCAGCAAGGAAAGGTCTGTTAGCCTGGTGACACAGGCAGTTTTCCGATTCATTTTAGAGTTGGTTGCCAAATCTGCAGTTCAGACACCTTTGCACTCAGATGTCTCTTAAAGCCAGCCCCAGGGTGACATGCAGTCCACTGAAGGCTCATTGCCTGATGACGTCCACATGGGCAATGGACAGGTCAGCTGTGTCACTACTGCCCACTGGCATCAGTCACAGTGAGATCAGTCCACACATCCAACCATTAAGTGGTTAGCAATTAGTACTTGTGTGTGTGTGTGTGTGTGTGTGTGTGAGAGAGAGAGAGAGAGAGAGAGAGAGAGAGAGAGAGAGAGAGAGAGAGAGAGAGCGCGAGCGCGCGCGCGCCAGGCTCTTGTGTGAACAATGGACACTTAGAACTGTGTATTTTTAAAATGAGGCACCAGAGAGAGAAAGAGAGACTGGATGGGAATGGGAATTCCTTAGCTGAGTCTGCTGCTTGCTCGCTTGCCCTCGAATCTTGAGCCAGCAGAGATTAAAGACAAGCAAAACACCAAGCCCTGAAAAATGAGGTCCACCACGTTGGTGCTCATATGATTTGGGAAGCAATAGTATGCACAGGCCCTCCAGAATGTACACACTTCATTAGTGAGGCTGCAGTAGCATTTGCTCAGTCAAGCCCCGTCTTTCATCTCACAAGCAGCAGGGAGTAAAAATGGCACAAACGTGTTATTAGGAAGGAAAATCCATCAGCAAGCGCCATAAATCAGCTCTAGGAACACATTTCCACCCATGCTTTGGGCTGACAATGTCTTTCCAAATCACCCAGCTAAGCTCAAACTGCCTGCTATCATGAAACCCAAGACAAAGTAAACTTCACCCTTCCATGAACCGAGTCCCTGTTTTGGGTGTGTGCGTGTTTTTAAATGAGCAAATTAGGTTTATGCATCTGTCAGTGAGGTGTGAAATTGGTCCATGTCACTTGGTGATTTAGCACAGGGCTTGCTTCTTCCCAACAGGACGGTGACATTGAACAGGAGGATATTGCTTGGATTTGGGGATGCTCATTTCGGAGTAGAGCCTAGTTCTGTCCTCAGCTGGTCTGAAGAGCTGGTGTAATGTTCTCAAATATGTATGGCAGCTCTCCAAAGCCTGAAGTCAATGGAGGAGACTGCAGAAGAGCTCTTTCAGGTCTTAGTAGCAGGATTTCAGCAGGTATGATTAGTAGGAGAGATCCTCAGCAAGGATCTTGTTGGTCCAGTTTGGCTTTGAACCCCTGTCTTTTATGTGCTCAGGCTGTGTGGGTATGGATGCTTCCTTAGTATTATGAGGTCTTTGTCCTGCCTGATTCCTGCAATTTTACCAGGGAACCAGAGAGTAGCTCCTTCAGCTCCGAATTCTCTCATGTTTTCCACTTTTTCTGTCCTTTTTCCTACCCTGGAAAATCTGTTATGGAGTAACTGGACAATGGCTTGGTAGTACGAAGAGCCCTCCATGTGGTAGCACCTGAAAGTCACTTTGGAGTACATGCTTAATCATCATGGATACATATGAAAAATAACAATTACAGAATCATTAGCTTTTTTAAAAGAGATGGTGTGACTTTTTAGCTTACTAAAGACCAGCAGCTGTGTGCTTTCTGTCACCTCTCCTCGGATGTTGGCCGCCCTGCAGGAGTACAAGCCCTGGTCTGAGTGAGAGACGTTTGCGATCAGCAGGGAACCGTCATGAATGGCGTGTCCAGCAGCCAGCTTGATTTTATTCCTGAACCAGGTGAGTTCTGCTTCAGGCACACCTGGGAAGAGAACACATTAAAATGTAGTCTGAGAGAGGCAGAGAGAAGGTGCAGAATTGTGTGCACTCTGCAAGGTCAAGAAGAACCATGCTAAAGGGCACTTTTCACCACAATGCAAGCCTACCTTTTCATTTCATTTTACAGTTTAACTTGTTTTCAGCCCTTGAAAAATAAATATGTGGACATGTCCGTCAATATTAATTATTCTACTCTTCCAATATTCTGGGAATAGGAGGACTTCTGACTAAACATGCATACAATGGCACCCTTATTGGAGTTTTCCCACCCCATAGGTTCTGAATAGCTTTAAAAAATATTTAAAATTGCACATTACAAAAGAGTGAGAACACACTGTGGGGTTTCCCTAAATGTTTTACATGTGCCCCACTCGCTGCTGTGAGTACCGAATGGCCAGTTCTCCTTCGCAGGCAGAAGGCAACTGCCGGGCGCTTTCAAGGCATGTTCATGGACCGGGAACATGCTGTGTCCTTTCGGCAGCTCCTCACTCAGGCCGTTGATGGCTGCCGGTCTATCATGTCCTTTATGCCTGTCGCCACTGGACAAATGCAGTGGTGACAGAGTTCTTTCTAGGAAGCCCGTGTGTCCTACTTGACAGAGGACACACCTCCATGTTAAGAGCCGTTTCGTCCAAATCCACTTTAAAGATAAAGGAATGCTGGAAGGGAAATGCAGGGAGGAGCCTTGAAGTTGCCCATGTACCCTCAGCAGCCGGGCACCAGGGTCACGGATTTCCCTGCCATGGGGAGATGCATTGTGTTTCTACTTGAATGACTGTAGTAAGTGCCACATGAGGTGGGTGGGCTCCAGTAACAGAGAATTTACAAGAGCTGAACAGTGCTATTGCGACATTTGGGAGGGTTCTCATTCACAGGGCTGCGAGTGCAAGTGAGAGACAACTTGAGGGCACATGACAACAATAATAGCGAGGGCTACATTTTCACCAGTACATAGATGTATTAGCATGCCAAATTTATGCAAAACTCTTCTGCCCTTTTTTTTGGTTATGACTTCCTCCCTCCCTTCCTTCCTTCCTTCCTTCCTTCCTTCCTTCCTTCCTTCCTTCTTTCCTTTTTTGACAATGCATAAGGGGCCACCCTAGATCTTTCTGAAATGGCAGCAAGCAACCTCCCAATAGCTGTTGTCTTTCTTGAAAATGGCAAGGGTCAGTTTGATCTCCCCTTGCTGAAACAGGATAGTGTACTTAACCGGGACATGCAAACATCTGTCGCACTGTGTCGCCTACCCTTCTTCCTCCGTATTTGCATCAGTGACACAGTTTCTTGCTTTCAGCCCCTCCTCTCGCCTCCTGTTGTTTTTTGCTCCCTTTTGCTCCCAGCTTCTTCTCCCTTCCCTTGTATGAACTCCTACAAGTACATGTCCTGTAAAATGTTCTTTGCTTTTTCAGTTTCCTGGCATGGTGTCCTTTTCTTATCATTGCCTCTTCTTCCTTTTTAACCCCTGCAAATCTTGAGCTTCACCAGAATGTGGAATGGGGAGCTGCACTGCACATGCCACCACTGGCCTGGTCAGCCAGAGTTCAGCATCAGAAGAGGTGGTAATCTTTTTATGAGACAGTTTAATGGTGGGGCAGAATCAAGTGGAAATTTGCATCATCTTCAAACTAAGACTGGGCTCAGAGCTCAGTTATCCTGCAGTTCAGTCCAGTGCTACACGAGCTCAAGCACAACCAATAATTCTGCAATAGACACTTCTCATGCTGAGCCCAACAAGTGTGTAATTTTCAGCTGATAAATAAAAATCACATCACCACCACATTATGTTCACATTTCTTCTTGGCAGCTGGCTGCTGCCAGCTCACATGAAACAAAACCCCCAAATCCTGACTCTGATCAAGGTTCCACAAACAACAAAGGGGATTTTATTTGGATAAAGGTAAGGGCCTCAAGATTTTTGATCCAAAGTGTTGCTGTGGCAATCTGCAGCTGCATTTGATACATAGCAGTATATATCCAAAGATTTCAGTACTTTTATAACTTTGATCACCTGTACAAAAGACTTATTCTCTCCCCCCCCCCCACCACTCAAGGTAAACAGAAGATAATCAAAGCCAAATGCTCCACCTGCATGGAGCAAATTGCATTGGAAAGAGAAGAAGAAGGGGAATGGGAGAGTACATGGCAGTGAACAGCCACTAGGCTTTCCGGTATCCTTCTCATGTGCATTTGATTCCCAAGTAATGGGTAATGAAACCAAGATCACAGAGAGCTGGCCAGAACTTCAAAAACTGCAATTTAAGGGCACAGGTGCAGGTAGATAGAGTTGCCATGCCATGGCCTCAACAGTAGGGGGAGCAAGAAGATCTATGTTTTATCCTGCAGCTTGTCACCTGCAGTGAAGGAAATAAAGGGTATAAAAAGAGGAAGGCATTACAGAGAAGAAGAAAAGGGAAAGGAAGTGAATGACTGAGCGAAACCACGGCAATCCTTATAGTGGGATGTCACACTGTGATTGCCCTTCTATACAGCGTGCATAAAAATGATGTTCAGATGGAAGAAAGGTTGAGTTCCACCGATGCCTGCTGGGCTTCTGGCTGAAGCCTTCATTTGCTAGGCACCTGTAGAAGTAATTTTCTTTGATACTGAAGAACTATCCCTTAGAGGGCTGTATAGTCCATCAAGTGGCAAAATGTTACTTCTCGGTCATTGTTCTACCATTCTCCTCTTGAGTTGGCTTGTGGCTGGCTCTTCTGCTGAAGAGCTCAGTGCAATGGGACTCACAGCAGGCTGCCCTGGAGGCACAGGCCAGGGGCAGGCCTCATCTCAGTTGCGTAGGGACCTATATGCAGGGCTGGCATTCAGGATAGGTACCGTACGGCAGGGCACAGCTACTGATGACGGCAGAAGTTGAAGCATTTAAACACGTTTTGAAATTACTCTGCTATCAGTTTGTCTTCCATTCTTTACATTTCCGCATCAGGCTGGCTGCACTCCTAGTGGATCCAGAGAACAAATGCACAGAGTCTCCTCCGAGGTGTCATGAGGAGCAGTTTCATTGCAAAACTGACCACCCCACCACTGAGTAAAGAAGAAAGGGCAGGGCAGAAGTAGCAGAGCCTCGTAAGCCTCCAGTGCAAGGTGTGACATGCAGCAGCAGCAAACTCCTCCACTGCAGTGCCTCACGCCCCGCATTTTGCCTGGAGGGCCATTTCCGGCTGCCTGGATTTCGGGTCTGTGAGGGGAGGGGAGAAGGCTGGGCACAGACTGGAATTGGTGCAACATTGCACTCTGCAACCCCAATCTCCTTTCCCTCCCGTCCTCTGAAGGACTTCGGTGCTCAGACTAAGAAAAATCCAATGGTCTCCCAGGTGATAATGGGAGCCCATAGGATTGCCCCCTAAACTGCATACCTAAAGCAGCAGCAACCAAATACATACACATCTAATTTGTTCTCTCTGTACTAGAGTCCAGCACTGCAGGCAACTGTACAGGTGCTTGGCAAATGACCTCTACTTTCCCCCACTGCTTGGATTGCTCAGGACTGTGGCTTGGGAACACTGGAAGTAAACAGCACTTAATCTGTAAATGTTCTGATGGCGGGAAGAACAGTAGTGTCGTTTTCTTCTAATCCCAGAGAGAACAGTCATGACCTGGGTTATCTTTACATATCGTAACACAGGCCAAGAGGACCATCCTTTTTCCAACTGAATGGTACCATGTGTGCCTTGTAAAATCCTTGTATAACTAACATATGCTCATCATCTGTCAGGTGAGTGGTGCAGGGGAAATGAAAAGGCAGGAGGTTGTAGACAGAGAACTCCTGGCCACACAAGGCAGGCATTATGAAGAACTATATACTTTTAACCAGGACCCTGTAAAAAGCAAAGCCTCCCCAGCTGGCATTGTGAAAAGACAGAGAGGGGTGGGGTGGGAGGAACGAGCTTCTCCTCAGTCCCCCTCCCTCCCCCTCATCACATCACTTTTGCCCACTCTTGCATACACTTCACACAAGAAGATGAACCCAATTCAGATTCCCTGACCAAGCATTTTTGCTGTTCCACAAGTGGTTCCCACTCATAGTAGATGATCCCCCCGCCCCCCCGTGAACTGTCTCCTGCCATATAACACGACACATGCACACCCTTGCACGGGTGATGAAATGGGCAAAAGAGCCAGCAAAGATAATATATGAATTGGCCTAAATGCCGCGATATATTCATCGTGTTTTGTAAGAAAGGGTTGGACCGGATGAGCCTTGCCAGCCAGTGTCCTTGATGACCTGACCGCTTGCTTTCTGCACTAGATGTGGCTCATCTTAACTTCCCCACTGGCTCTTTCATGTTCTCATTTGTCCTCAGCCAGCCACTCCGTTTTGTTACAGTAATTAAGGAGACGCCAGTTTTCAAGAGCAGACGGCATGAACAACATGCCCAACCTTACATGTAATCACCTTTCTCCTTGACCCCAAAGCCTTCCGCAAAGCAACCAGTGGGACATGGGCGTTACAAGGTTGCCACCGAGTGCAATAAACTTTTGGGATCCTAATCAAGAGCCCTAATCATTTTCTTCCACTCATCGACCTGCCAATGATTCTCTTTTACTCATGAATGGGAAGGGATGCGGCACACGCTTGCCATGTGCTATCCAATTAAGCTCCACACACTGGCTGTGTTCCAAGGAGCAAGTGCCCCACGGGCAGCCAAGAATTCCCGTTGGCTGGCTTCAGAACCACGGAGCTTGTGCTTCTCTGCCATTCCTGCTCAGAAATGTGATCCGACTGCACAGGCCTCTTTATTACAGCCACAGCACACTATATTTTCCTTCTAATGCTGAACTTGGTGCCAGTGTGTTGACAGCTTTTTAGTCAAAGAGGGGAGATGAACAATGAAATGGAGGTACCTGTGTGCTTGGGTGAATCTTACCTTTTGCAGAAGTATAGAAGAAATATTTTGTATTTGAAAGCAAAAACAAAAACAGAACACTCTTTGGGGCAAATCCCAACAAAAACATGAAAATGAGATA